TCAAATATAATCTGACCAAAAGTCTTCTAAATGAACTCAAATAATTATGGGTGGCGCTAGTGTTTATCTTCCCACCTTCTTTCTTCTCTATGAGAATGAGAGCTCCTCTTCCTCACTTTCCAACTGTTAAGTAAATTGAATTTATGTGTTCAAAAATCTATTTATATCCTGTGTTTTTCACACTGTGAATGTGTCATCTACATAATTCCACCAGGCTTTTGGAGGGTGGAGTTGAACGAATATGCGAAACCGAAATAGAAAGTAACTAGTAACATAAATATTCAATTCTAAAATGGAAAGCTTTTGTGAATTTAGAGTACGCAGACGATATAGCTCTTTAAGATGAATACGATGATATATTTGTAGTCTTCTAAATAATCTGAGCTAAAATACAAACAAGTTTAGAGTGCAGCTCCCCGTGTCAAATATTGCTATATTCTTACACGACTGATCTCCATATGCAATTTGTTTAACGACACGGAGTGAAGTAGCCTAATGATCGGATCTTATTTGAGAATTTGGGTAGGTAATAATGAGGTTGGCCATGGTTTTATGTAAAAATGTAAAGTAGTTCGCGAATTCATTGAGGCCAAGTCGATTTGGATTGGCCAGGCCTACCTAATATATGTGCTACCTGTCATCCCTCTCGATACATTTGCCAAATTGTGTTATTTTTGACACAAGCATGCTATCCTATTATCCTTCAAATGGAAAGTTTACTGTGAAGTAGCTGGCGTTGTCCTACTTCACGTCTGCGAGTTATAATCAATGTAAAAACAGGAGATATAGAAAGATCAATTGGTTTTGGAACAGAATAGCAATCCTTGGAGTTTTCGACTATTTTTTTATCTCTGTGTAGCAGTCAGCGTAGATTGCTTAGTTGGTGTACTTAGAATACTAAGAATCAAGGGATGATGAAGACTATTATTGATATATTTCAAAGTTGTTCAGAAGGGCGTAGATGTATTCAACCAATTCCAGAATACAGATTGCCCACATGATCTCCATATTACCCTTGAATACCCAACCAGTCATTTCTCATTTAGGCTCCTGACTGATTGGTTGGCATTCCACTCGAAGATATGCCTGGCGTTTGATGTCACTCCACTGTCTCCTCAGCGTATTTCCAATCCATCTCTATTTCTCTCAGCATATTTGTTGGGCAATAGGTTCTTGATTGGTTCGTTATCAGAGTTTCATGTTGATTATTCTTTCTAACCAGCTGTCCAATCTTTTGTATCAATCCAGCGAAAGCAGTTGTTGATAAATGTCTTCAGTAGCCCATCGGGAGAAATGCTTTTGGTGACATTAGTGTTGTAGATTTGGAGCCTGTTCCTTATTCTATGTATAGTGAATTTCCTCTACTGATTTTAGATAAATGATGGTGTGTCTTACTCTCTTCTGATCCTGATTGACTTCAACATCCTGATATGTATCACTTCTGTCTAGATCAGTGAAAAATAATAATTTCCTTCAAACTCCTCCCATTGATGCAGACTGCGACTTGTCCACAAAACCTCAACTAGCCTAAAAAAAGGGAAGTCTGGGTGTAGAGCTAGTGGCCCTACCTTAGAAAATCAATTCAAATTGGAGTCGGTTAGACAAGGTAGTGCGGGCTGTTGAAAACCTTCAGAAAACCAAGTCAGCCAATGTGTCTTCTTTCAATGAAATCAAAAATGAGTATGGAGATATTCAATCTCCGCGTGACGATAAATTTACGATTAGGTTAAATCATTTGTAATTTTAAGCAATGAAATAAATGTGCATCTACTTACTTGCTCATATCAAAGTTGATAAAGTATGATTAGAACTTTAATTGAATTTGAGATTTTCCCGTCGATTGATTGGACCGAAGTGCTCAATCTCAGGTTGACATGTCGGCTTCTTGTGCAGATGCTTCGACGATGTCTGGGCATTTAATTAGAATCTAATTGGTGAATAGTGATTAGCAGTGGGATCCAGGTGGTTTTGTTCTCTGAGCTGGATGGTTAGTTTGCGAAGCTTTCATCACTTTACTGGGTGACATCTTCAGCGCATACTCCCAGGAGAGATGATTAGTAAACTCGTGGAGAAATCTAAAAGCTCACTTCAAATTGAAGTATGCGCTGAAGATGTCACCCAGTAAAGTGATGAAAGCTTCGCAAACTAACCATCCAGCTCAGAGAACAAAACCACCTCAAAATCATCCACCTGAACTACAAATCTTCTCTATCATATCTAAGTGGGATCCAGGATGCGCATTTCGCCCTATTTGGGACTCGTTAGCTGGATGTACCAGCATTTCTCAGTAAGTGATGGTGTGCAACACAAGAGGTGGCCCAAGTGGTCTAGTGGATAACGCTTTGGCGTTTGAAACTATGAGCACTGTGTTCGAGCCTCGGTGGGAACATCATCACTCACTGGGAAATGCAGGTATATCCAGATGACGATTTCTAAATAGGACGAAATGCGCGTTGTCCTGGATTCCACTGCTAGTCACCATCCACAAATTAAATTATGATTAGAACTGTTGATTTCATTGTTATTATTAAGTGTTTAAAATAAACGAACCAAACTTTTACAGTTGTTTCAAAAAAAAACTACAGGAAAACTTTTATAGAATTATTATTATCTTTTAAACTTTCACGATAATAGCCGAGTCTTGAAAATTTATCCTGTATTTCATGAAATAATTAGTCCCAGATAAACACACACGCGTGCAAACATTCAAATATGGAACGAAAAATATATATAGCATACTTGTTTATCACTATGGTAATATTTTCTCCTATTTTTAAGATACAACTTAATTGCCTAGTTGTGTTTTATTAATGACAACTATATGGTCCATCATGTATAAGTGATGTGGTATTGTGTAGGCACGAAACAATCTCAGTCCATATTATATTATATTATATGAACTAAAGGAATCACCAAGACAACGGCAATATTTTCATTAGAATAAACTGAGCTATCTTACTTGAATATATGTAGGATTATCTATCGGGTGATATATATATATATATATATATATATATATATAATATCAATGAAGAATTGTTTTTTGGTCGGGAAATACCATCATGAGCTGACATCAGTTTGAGAATCATTGGAAAACCAACTGGCAGTACTGGACAGCTGTTTCGTCAGCCTAGTTTGGGACTTTTCATCAGTACGCACCCACCACAGGGACTGGAACCAAGGGTCTTCCTGTTACAAGCAAGCAAGCGCGTAAACCTTTAAGCCACTCGGACCCGAACCAATGGCCAACCCATGAATTGTAACTTCTGCCAATTCACGACATAACATGACTACTTCGTGATATCTTCTTCTATGAGTTACTGTCCTCATCTTAGACCTGCTTTCCCCTACTGATCACGGCTTCCCACTAAAACCCCAGGCAACTGTCTGAATAGAGCCATTCGCCAGCGAGCACTAGATCAATTATCATGTTTTTCTATGATTCGATAAAATTCAGTGACTTATTTTCATATACGTTTTGCTGCAGCAGTTTGTTTGAATATCTATGTAATTTTTTTCCTTCATGTTCCCAGTGGAACATAGGACCTCAAGCTAGTGGCTTAAAGTTTCTGTAGCAGTGTTTATTTTACAGGATGGGGTTGCTAGCCTCATGCCCAATCTTTCCTCTTTACCATCATTATTTGTGGCTTAGTGAGGTAAAGGAGTGCATCGGCCGGGGATCGAACCCGGACTGTGTACATGGTCGGCAAGCGTCCTAACCGCTGTGCCACCGACGTACACTTTAACCTCGCTGTAACTGCCTTATTACTGTTTGAAGTGTCAGGTGAATTGACTCTTGGTTTCTCAACAACAACAAAACATGGTGCTAACAGTATTTCCTAGCATAATTTACAAAATATTTGTCTTTCTTCATTCTATTTCAATCACGTATAAGTTGGAATGTGATAAAATGTAGAAATGTCTCAAATACGGATGAATGTATCTTTCTCTGATGTAATGACCAAGTCAAAGGTAAATATATTTACTAACTGTTTGCCCACGTATGAAATGTTTGTCGCAAGTCACTAGTATGTAATTTCATCAGTTGATGAAAGGTTTCGCCGTGAGTGACGACCACTAACTGTTCTGTAATTTAAACCTACTTCAAATAAGTTACTAATATATCCAAGTGAGTGGATTCAGTCATCTTAATCGATATAGTTTTATGACTTCATTGATTAAAAGTGGCCAAAGCATTTGACTATTTTACTCTTTCTATCTTTAAACATACTGCACATGGAGACAAGTCCTGTGGATATATATTAATATTTGAGAACAGGGAATCGAATGGTAAACAGATGTAGATTTTTCATTGGGATGTTTAAATGGCTGCATTTCATCAGAGCCTTTATTGAAAAGAAGTTTCGCATCTGTTAATTCTAAATCCCTATAAGACATTTTCACGTTAGGTTTAAATCTTTATATCATTATTTATTTTCTATCCCAGTTTTCCTTAATTTTCCTAACTTCTTTATCGTTGTCAGTTAACTCATTACAATGAAAGCGGTATTTGAGCAGTAGGCAGCATTTGTAACGTTACTGAAAGTTGAGAAACCAATGTCTATATTCCATCCAGACTTAGGTTACATAGTTGTTATAACTGTAGGGAATTAAATGAGGACGTTGTCGCCTTGTTCTATCTGCGCCTGACTAATATGCCTATCTGCTTGTGGTACCTTCCGATTCAGTGAAGCACGCAAATATCAAAAGACAAAGACTGGACTGTGACTCTGTGTATTGTAGTACACAACAACGACAAAGAAAGCCATGGTATTTATACATTTTATAACAATATAGACACCTAACAGCATTTGAAATAATTGATCGTAATAGTCAATAACAAAGTGCGTGAGAAATGATGGCTTCACTGGGTGAGTCTAAATGGTTTACTTTAATGCCTAAAACTAATAATACTAGTAGAATATATGGTACTATTAAAATACATAAACCAGGTTACCCCATAAGACCAATAGTAGATTTTAGAAATACTCCCACTTATGAATTATCAAAACACTTAGCTCTAATACTTTGTCCCATTAGAAATCGCTCAAACTCTAGACTAACTAATTCATATGAGATGAAAAGTAAGCTAAATGACATTCAACTAGAGAATGATGAAAAAATGGTTAGTTTTGATATAACTAGTCTTTACACTAATATACCAGTCATTATGGCCTTAGAAGCAGTTAAAAAAGAACTAACTGCGGATCCTGAACTGAATCATAGGACAAAGCTGCCCATTGAACAAATTATGTTAGGGATTCAGTTATGTCTCACATCTACCATCTTTAAGTTCCAAGGCAAAATATATAAACAAACAGAAGGTGTAGCAATGGGATCACCAATATCCCCTATTGTAGCAGACATATTTATGGACAGCTGGGAAAGTAGTGCTCTTAATACGTTTAACCCCACTCCAAAAATATGGTGGAGATATGTGGATGACACTTTCACGGTGTTAAAAACAGAACATATCTCTAGCTTCCTGACACATATAAACTCACAAGTAGAAGGAATTAAATTCACATTTGAATCAGAAAATGAACTAGGAGAATTAGCTATGTTAGATTGTAAAATAAAACGAATAGAAGAAGGCAAACTACACACTAGTGTTTATAGAAAACCAACGCATTCTAATAGATATTTAGACTTTAATTCGTCTCATCCGTTAACTGTTAAGGCAGGCTTAGTAAAGTGTCTAACAAATCGAGCCATAGCACTAAGTAGCACAAAAAAAGACCTAAATGATGAAATAAAACAGATAGAAGAAGCGTTGGTGTTGAATAACTATCCTATAAAATTCATTAGGAAGATCACCAAAAACCAAAAGCAAAATAAAAATAATGGTGAAACTATTAATGATAACACAAATAAGAAAGAATATAAGTCATCCACTGTTATACCATATAAGGAAAGCACATCTGAGGCCCTACGTAGGATTCTTAATAAAGCAGGAATTAGGGTGGCATTCAAACCTACAAACTCACTCAGAGACAAGCTCTGTAGGCTAAAAGACCCGGTGGATCCAATTAAACAAAATAATATAATTTACAAAATACCCTGCAATAACTGTGAGGTCAACTACATAGGTCAAACTAGTAGGTCAGGGATAGTCAGATTAACAGAACATAAGAATTTAGCTAAGGTAAGAATGGTTGACCCTAAAAAGATAAGTAATTTAGAAAAAAGCTCAGCTATTGCACTTCATGCAATAACAAACAACCACACAATAGGGTGGGATAGGGTTAAAATTCTAAAAAGTAATATAGCTAAGTGGAGAGAGAGGTTGATTACGGAATCCTTATTTATCGAGTCCACACCCAACACATGCAACAAAAATGACTCAATGCAAATACCAGAGATATGGAAGATATTATTACCGCAGGTCAAATCAGAAGAGGGTAATAAATAATATTAAAATTCTATTTCAATTCAAACACATCACAACATCCTAACAAAAAACTTATTATGACTATTAAAACACTCGTCGTATCTTCCATCTGATTATAGTAGATCAATAACACTCGTATTAATGCCATCAGTCAAACCAGAAGAAGATAATAAATAATCTTAAAATTCTATTTCAATTCAAACACATTCTAACAAGCAGCTTATTATGACTGTAAAAACACTCGTCCAATTTTCCCATCTAATTGCAATTGATCAACAACACTCGTACGATTATTTCTGAATGTACATTATCTCACATTGATTTTTAATCCAATATCTAATCCATTCCACATATGTATATAAATGAGAGATCAAAGTTGTGTGAGTAACTTGATATGATTATGAGCAATAGTTTGTGCTCGAAACGTCATCAGTTCATATAACTGTAAACACTGTGCGATTTATCAAAATAAAATCTTATCTATAATGGAATGATATACATATATGCGAGATTAACAGTCAATAACAAAATGTGTGGGATCCTATCAATAGTGCAACTGTATCCGATCAAACTACTTCTTGAAATGGCTTCTCCATTATCTCAGCCACTTCACTTTTAACTTTGTTAAGATTCTATACCTTCTAATCATTGTTTTACCAATTTCCTTAGTGTGCCTAAATGGTATCTTTTTTGCTTATGTTTTCTGAACTCCTCTCGATTTCGTCGCTCACAATTGTTTGGTTTGGCTAAAAAGTTTTCTATTACTTCTTCTTCTCTTGCTCTGAAATCAATCTCTTTGAGTTAATTCCTTTGGTCACAACTTCAGAAGTCCACTAGCTTTTACTACCCTTCAGTGCTATCAACCGTCTTCACTACTATTTTCACATTTGAACTTATGAAATAACTTGTTCAAACAGTTTCTAAAGGACTTAATATAGAGTTACTTGTAATAAAAGAAACTAAAATTCAGGTTATTTGAACTATTTGTCTGCTTGTGTTGAACTATCCTCCAAACGGACAATACAGCCATCTTAGCTGGGCAGTTTCCAACCTCTCATACCAATCAGAATCATGCTATCAGACACTAGTCCTTTTAGAATTTTCCCTAAAACATCTGTGAAATAAACAACTTGATTGTTTTTCCGTGTGAATGTTGATGAATATGCATCAGATTATTTAGTTACTTTCTTTTCAGGTCAACTACTTTCGTTATGAACAGTAATCACAAGATATCGGCTATCACCAAATCTATAACCGCAACAGTAAACAATAGACACCAAGTTCGGACGACCTTGAAATAAGCAAACAGATTCTTCTAGGTCAAAGTGGCATTTAATTTATAATAAAAAGTGTATTAATAATTAGTTATGCATGTAATAAAAGTAAATTATACAGGGTATATATCTCTGATATACTGCAAAAATTGGTCCCATTTTCTCATAGGAGCAGTTAATAAACATATCAAACCAATGTAGATACAAAATTTCATCTAAGTGGCTATATATATATATATATCGTTTCGGGAACCATTTTTTATTCCTTTATGTTCCCAATAGAACATAAAACTTCAAGCTAGAGGCTTGAAGTTTCTGTAGCACAAGGTAATTATTTTTACGGGATGGGGTTGCTAGCTTCATGCCCAACCTTCCTCTTTACCAGCTTTTATTCCTGGCTTAACGAGGTAAGGGAGTTCGTCTGTCGGAGATCGAACCCCGGACCATGTGCGTAGTAAGTGAGGGTCCTAACGGCTATGCCACCGACGCACATTACTTGAAAGCTGTTTCGTCAGCCTTGTTTGGTACTCTTTAACGATGAGCACCCACAGGGTTTTGAAACATGGACCTTCTGGTTACAAGGCGAGCTGGTAGACTATTAGGCCATTGTGACCCCTTAAATAAACTAATATGGAACCATTTACCATTCCAATATGTTTTTTCAGGTGAACCCAGAATCCTTCAATAAAATTTGTATGGCTTTCACTCATAGAATCCATCAACTTAGAAGAATGATTGACTTTAGAATGAATACAGCCTAGTGATGATAATTGTGAATAACCTCTCCACTCATCTGTGTAGGTGGTAGTGTCTGAGAGGACTAGTCGTTGTATTATTGGTTTTAAAGCATCAGCACTTCTGCTTGAAATGCATTCTACTAACCCTTTTCTAAGATTTGTGTCCTACAGTCCCATCGATCCTCCCGCGACTCATTTTCCGTTTTTATAAGTACTGTTTCGTCAGAATGAATGACGACGCCAACTCCTCCAAGTAAGGAAGTAATTCCGTTGATCTTTTGTGACACAATATCCCGACAGTGCTGATACCACTGCACTGTTAACGCTTCAGTAGCCAGTTGTGGCATATACGCAATATTTTTTGGGTAAAGTTCAACAATAGCGTCCCAGGAGTGCGAACGCTCCAATGACCTTGAATGCATGCTAGTCGTCGGCTAACGGCACCTGTCATTATCATAGCTGAAAGATCAATGCTATTCACCAGCTAAACGGCAAATTTCACCCAGATCACGTTTTTGAGTACTGTTTTGACAATGTGTTAATAGCTCATTAGGGTTAGGACCAGGATTATAATTAGTTATCATTGGGGTTAGAATTACGGTTCGGATAAGGGTTATTATGATCAGGGTTAGGAATAAGGTGTTTGGGGTTACGATCAGGGATAGATTTAGAGTTGATGTCATTTATTTTAATTTGTTTTATTATCCACATTTTACTGGTAATTAGTCCTCCATCCTCCTACTGAGAACCATAGTAATTCAACCGAGGACTTTGGGGAAGACTGCACAACAGGATAAGAGAGATGAACGATTCACGAAAACAGTTCATCTTCAGTCACCTCGGTTAATACATGTACAGAAACTAATCTAACTTAGCAACTCATACTCTCCATTATAACTCGGACGTATTTTTAAGTCATGTTAGAGAAAGATAACCTGTCTAATGTGTTTTCATGCATTTTCTTGTAAATCTACATCATTTTTTGTGCAAAATCCCTCATTTTATGATTGGTTGGCTGAAGGTTACTCGTGCGTTTGCATCTCTTGGGACGCTATTGCTGAATTTTGCCATATTTTATCAAGGGGGAGTTTTGAATTCGAGGAGAACGTATCCTAAAAAATCACCATAGTTTACGGCTCATGTGACAGTGACTGGATCTGAATGCATAACCGGCAACGCTTTCGCAAAGTCATTACCCCTACACTTATGCATATTTTAGTCCTCCGTATCAACCCTTTTTCCACACAAAAGTCAAAGACCAAATCTGCATGAAACTTGCAACGAAGACAAACAAAATCCGTTTGTAATACGGGCGACCTGATTGGTTGATTCAAGGTCATTTGATTTTAGTGTCTATTATTTACTCTCGCCCCATAGACAATATATCATTTTTGCTTGTGTCCTTCGTTATTTTTTTCCACGAAAAAGAATTCAAAAAAATGCATAATGGTACGAAATTAGGGACTCCTTTTTTCCTGAGTTTCTTTTTAAAAATTTATTATTTCTTTCACAGTTTTGTCTCGTCTGCCTTGTAAAACAACAGATTAGACAGTCTGTCACACTTACAACAAAGAATAGAGACAGTGTATGACGCTGATTGATATGCGTGGGTGGAAACCACTCACATCGACTTGTTTATATATATATATATATATATATATATATATATATATAGAGAGAGAGAGAGAGACGTTATTTTCATAGGACTACACGTCTATTGAAAGTAATCCTAGTTTATATCCGTCGTATTTTCGCTTTAAGTCATAGAATAAGATGGAAGATCAGCATATAAAATACTTTAAGAAAGAAAAATAGGAAAGATGAGGATAAGGTAGAGAGGTGTGTGACGCTGAATTTAAGTGTTAGAGATGAGTATATAAATTAATGCGAAACAAACCTACCATACTATCATCTCTCTATACTTGATGTAAATAGATTAGAACGTAGGCGGTCAATTATTGATGTAAATTTCCTCAAGTAGTTGGTCTTGTGCAAATATTTTTTTATATTATGTGCTTAGAGGGATGTTGTAATCATATCCCAGGTGGGTTACGTTTGGCTGTTTGTTTTTCTTTAAAGGTGCCTTATCAACTATTTTTACATAACTGGAATATCTGTTTATCACGACGGTTGCTTTACTATGCGTTAAAACACATCGTGTGAGCTTTCATCCTTATACAGTGTATATCTCTTTTTGAGTCGTATAGTTTAGTTACTGTGATAAAACAGATTCGTATTCTTACGTGGACCTCGACCTAAACTTACGTAGTTTGGACTAAAAATTAATGACTTAATTATTTATTATTTATCGTTGCTTACGCATTTACAGGTTTAATTATGAGCCGATTGTGCGTCAGTGGCACAGTGGTTAGGACTCTCGCCGACCATACACATGATCCGAGGTTCGATCCCCTGCCGACGGACACCTGATATCTATGGTCAGCCTGCAAAATTTGGGCTACCTATATCACATGCTGAAAATTTCATACTTGTACCAAAAATACAGTGTGGAATCAAGCTGTAATCAAAAAAATAAAAAAAATCCTATACGATGACTTATGAATTCTAACTTCTATCTAGTGAGATGAAACAACTGTCCAGTAGCATCCTGGTTTCCCAAGAGGTTGGTAGCTGGTAGTCACAGCTGTAACCAATCAAATTCCTGCAAACCAACAATTGAAAAAGTATACACATTCAGTGTCATATGTACTTCAATTGCCAAGTAGAAAAATAGAAGGAGAATGTAACCTCTTTTAATAGTTTGAAAAAATTAGAGCATTGGGTATATGATATTCGTTATTATAAAAGTTTTTTTTTCTGTATTTCTCAATGAATGAATAAAAAGTATTAATAAACTAGAATTTACAAAATCTCAGCTTAGATATACAATAACGTAGTTCTTCAGCTTGAGGTAACTTTTGCATTTGGAGGTATGTAGATGACACATTCACTGTACTTAGAACACAAGATATAGATAGATTTTTCGAACACAGTAACTGTTGCACATTTTTGAGTGGGTGATAAATTGGTAAAGATAACAAATCACAGGCAGACTGTTAGATTTGATAAATTCATGAAACTCTAAAAACAGCAGGTGTTTGCATACTGAAATCTCTGGTCACATTTGTGTTGATTTTGTCACTTCATGTGGGGTTGTTGAAATCAGGTCGAATTCTGTAATAGTCTGTCATTCCTATTCAGATGATTTGGATACCATTTAATTAATATGAAGTGCTCGTGATATGAGATTTCCTTTGTCATTGCTGAAATTTTTCTGGATGATTTCAATATTGCATGGAGGATTTAATCATGAGCTGACATCAGTTAGAGAACCACTGGAAAACCTGGGAGTACTGGACAGCTGTTTCGTCCTAGTTTGGGACTCT